GATTCTTTACAAGGTTTATTTTATACTTTCTCAATTTTTTTTTAATCTAAAAACTATATCAATGCCCCCATCACAGGGTTCAATCCTGTAACCACTCATTTGGAATAATAGCAGATCAGATGTACCATCACATGCACTACATAGTAGTTGGCAAGATAAAATGCGATATGTAGATGCAATAATAGTTATTTATTTGTCCAAAAAGGAGATTGAAGTAACAACGTAACGAACTTTAAATATGATACCATTAAAAAAAAAAAACGGAGTATTAAAAAGTGGATAAAATGGGAGCACAACTCGATCTAGACATCTAGTCCACTGTCCACCCTTTGTGAAGGCAAATTAATATATGCTTCCACATAATATATATATCATTAAAATACAAATAAAAAAAACACCATCCAATATTTTTCTATAATAATGACGCACAAATAGCCGCATATTTATGAGTGAAGGGCTGAGATGATGAGAATGACAATGAGGGGTCAAAGCCTTCTTCTCATCTCTTACTGAGAGAGAGAGAGAGAGAGAGAGAGAGAGAGAAATTAAGGAGAAGGTGGGAGTTTGATTTGTGGTGAGAGGGTGGCAATAATGGGGTCGTGCGGGTCGACGATATGATTGCGACCCAGCGGAGGATTATTTCCGACGAGAGGATGGCCGGTTTTCGTAGGAGGAATAGCAGCGGCGGCGGCGGCTCGTCGTCGTCCGGGAATAGAGGGAGCCTGTGGGCAGTGGTAAGAGAGCACCGCTCAAGATTCTACATCTTCAAGAAATGTATCTTCATGTTAATCATGTGGCATAAATATCGCAAACTTTAATTTGATTATATTCAAAATCATTTCTCCATCTTTAATTTCTTGCTCTTTTTTTGGGGTGGCCGGATATATATATATAAATGGGTTTTTATCCGTTTCATTGAAAGGGGTTGATGAATTCATGATTAGATGTCTCATGTTGTTTACATAATTATTACATGCATGCAATGCATGACATACATTGTATTGTAAATTGTTGTTTATAAATGAGATATCGAAAATTCTTGCCTTTTTTTTTTCAATTCGTGATTCGTTTATACATAAAACCAACAACTTAAGCTTTGAAACCCAGTTATATATATTTCTTGATAATAATAACGAAGAATAGCCTTTACCTACCATTTTAAGGTGATCGGAATGCTAGATTTATTTTCAGTTGGAAAATCTTAAAATTCTAACAACTTTGGTGATCGAAATGTTAGATTTTTCATAGTGAATTAAAAAAAAATATTTAAATAATATTAATGACAGAGTTCTACATTTGATATTAGTACAATAATGAAATTAATTAACAGTTAATATTGAAATATAAAAAATTTAAAAATAGTAAAGTGATTACAAATAAAATTCATTCTTAAGATATATCATCATAAAATTAAATTATTTTCAAATTTTATTGATTGGTTTTGAAATAATTATTTATACGACAAAACCTACTGGCTATTAGGTGTCTTCTTCCAAAAAAAATATATAAAAATAAAAATATTAGGAAGTGATTATGGACCCTAAAAATACATCAATATGATTAATGCCGTCGGAGCAGCATATATAATTGCAGCTATTATTTCTCTCGTTCATGGCTGTGGCACAAAGCTAGCTATAAAGACAAAACAAAAGCATAGTAATAATAAATTAAATTATTAAAATCTTATGCTCAAATAGCACCTCTGTGGCTACCCTTGAAGGAAAGTCAAGATCGAACTTCAGTGGTGAAGTATTGACTCTTTAAGCTGCAATAGTTAGAGAAAATATAGAACAGATACTATCTTGTAATAGAGTCAATAATATTAAAAAAAAAAAGATAATAATAAACTAAATTATAACTAAAAGTCTAAAACCCATGAAAGGAATCCAATTACAACGTTAGATTGGATACCAAAGGATTGAAGTCCGTAGTGACTCAAGGGACGACATCTTACTAGGCGGCAATCATTAAATTATGGGTCATTGTTCACCGGTGAACCACTAATAAGGTTCATTTTTTAGTATATTGAATATTTAATTTTAATACATTAAATTTTTATTTTTTAAAAGTATAATGTCTTTATTGGTAATAAAATCTATGACCTCCCATTTGGTCACTTCATGTTACTAGATTACTTAATAATTTGATGTAATTATATGTATAACATAGAGCAAAAAACAGTATGATAAGCATCTCACTTGAATTTGTTGCACAAAATCTTTATAGTGTGGTTTATGACAAATTATACTATAGACCATAATTCTCATTGATCATGGATAAATGTTAATTTTTAGTTTATTCAATATTCATTTTTAATGAATATATTGAAAGTTTATTGTTTTTGTAGTATACTTCAAAAAGAACTTTTAATTTAGTATACAAACAAAATGTACATGTACTAAAATAAAACTTCAATTTATATTACTTCCTAAAAATGATGAATATTTTGTCAATAATTATCTTGCAACGTGGACCAAGGTCATTGGAATAATGATTGGTTATTTACCTTGTGGGACATACACAGGAGAAAAAATATATTTTTACAATCAGCTAACACTATCAACTAATTAAACTTATTAACCTAAATCAACTAACAATTATTTACCAAACACCCCCGTAATCTATCTAAATTGACGACAGAAGATTGCTAAAAAAAATAATGAGAAAAAAAAAAAAAAAAAAAAAAAAAAAAGAGACAGATAATTTTATAAAAATTACAAATTTAAAATTTTTAATAATTATAAAACTAACCAGTATTTTTTTTTAATACTAAAATCTTCAAATCATAATAGGTGATTGTGGTCATATTCTCGGGGGTGAATTACAAGTAGCCAGCCATACGATTCCTGGATTTTCGCATGAATCTATGGGGTTTCCAACAACGAAAGACATAAAAAGAATCTTAGAGAATACAGAATCACCAACAACAAACAAAAACACAGATTATCCCAATGCACTATTGTTCTTAACTCCCTCGTAAACATAATTAAATATCAAATCGCATGAATCTGATATCTGCTTGGAACCTTTTCCCCGACCCGAACTTCAATCCGCTCTCTGCATGCGTTCATGGCCGACGGTAATAGCAGTCTTCAGCCGGGGTTACAGTGGGACGAAGGTTCTCCGGCATGGCTGAACAAAGGAGACAATGCATGGCAGCTGACGGCGGCGGCGATGGTGGGCCTGCAAACCGTTCCGGGGCTGGTGCTCCTGTACGGCAGTATGGTGAAGAAGAAATGGGCGGTGAATTCGGCGTTCATGGCGCTGTACGCTTTTGCGGCGGTTTTGATCTGCTGGGTCCTTTGGGCCCACAGGCTGGCATTCGGGTCGAGCCGAGCGCCCATTATAGGCAAGCCCGAACAGGCCATGGCCGAAAGCTATTTACTGAGTCAGTACAGAGATTATTTACTGCCCACTGCCGACTACGTTTTTTACCAGTTTGCTTTTGCCGCCATTACTGTGGTGTTACTGGGCGGGTCTTTGTTGGGGAGGATGAATTTCTATGCGTGGATGATGTTCGTTCCTCTGTGGCTCACCCTATCGTACACCGTCGGAGCCTACACCATCTGGGGATCTGGCTTCCTCGTCCAAAAGATCATTGATTTCTCCGGCGGATATGTCATCCATCTTTCTTCCGGTGTCGCTGGTTTCACTGCTGCTTATTGGGTAAACCTCTTTTCAATTTTTACTTCCACTACACTAAATTTTCAATCTTTTTTTCTTTTTAAAATAATTAGCCGCTATTAATAAAAAAAACCATTGGTTCAATAGGGATCCTGTATAGATTTCTTGTACATCCTGTCTATTGAGTCATTGAATCTTAGATCTGACCTAAAATAGACTATCAAGCTTACATTACATTGGTCAATCTGACTTACAAAAAAAAATTTGTCTGAAATTAATTTTAACTCGATTTACCTGAAGTTAGTTTTAGTTCAATTTACCTTATTGTGTGCCTGGACAAGTTCATTACTCCATGATATGATATATATAGTTTGGTGAAATTGAAAATTTTGTTATAAGAAAAATGGATAAAGAAATAAATGGGGTTAGATATTGTGTAGGTTGGACCGAGGCAACCGCAGGATAGGCAACATTTTCCACCAAACAACATCATCCACATATTGGGGGGAGCCGGGTTCCTGTGGATGGGATGGGCCGGGTTCAACGGCGGTTCACCGTTGGCGGCGGACCTGGTTACGTCGCTAGCTATTCTCAACACCCACATCTGCACCGCCACAAGCATTCTCATCTGGCTATCCTTAGACACCATCTTTTACAAGAAAAGCTCCGTCATCGGAGCGGTTCAGGGCATGATCACCGGGCTGGTTTGCATTACCCCCGGCGCCGGAATTGTGGATTCATGGGCGGCGATGCTGATGGGAGTGTTGGCAGGCTCAGTGCCCTGGTACACCATGATGGTTCTTCACAAGAAATCCGCTTTCTTCCAGAGAGTGGACGACACGCTGGGCGTCTTCCACACCCACGCCGTCGCCGGCATCCTCGGAGGAATTCTCTCTGGCGTATTCGCCAAACCCAACCTTCTCCGCCTCTTCTATCTACACTCCGACCACAGTGACAGTACCGGCTTTCTATACACCCTACTTCACGGCGAAGTCCAACGCGGGTTCAGGCAAATGGGGTATCAACTGGCTGGGGCGGCATTCATCACGGCGTGGAATGCCAGCATGACTAGCTTGATCTGCATCTTCATAAGCAGGATAGTACAACTCCGGCTGGATGAAGATGATCTGGAGATCGGGGATGACGCCGTTCATGGCGAGGAAGCTTATGCCTTGTGGGGAGATGGTGAGAGGGACCCTCCACCTCTTCGTTTCAACATGACTCCCAAGATCCCTTCATTCTGCCGCCGCCATGGCACTCGTAAACCTCATGTGTAAAGATCAATCACAGATATATCACTTTTTCAGAAACTGAGAATGTATAAAATTTATCCAACAAACAAACACGGTTAATCAGACAGATCCACTAATGGAAACAAACGAACACGGTAATCAAACAGATTCAGTAATGGAAGAAATGGTGTTCAAGAATTCAAAGGAACAGTGCCAAGACAATTTTATGTTTAAGGGTTTCGACTACAAGTAGCAAGGAAGACACAGAGCAGTAAAGGTCCCTTACGATACACTATAGATGACAGAGACAGTGATGAAAGATCCTTCTATATCTAGATTCTGGAACCATGAGCATAGTTCCTTTCAAGATGGGGGTGGTAAGGAGAATATGATCTAGACATCTCCCTCCTTGATCGTCCACCATAAGGCGAACGCCTTGGAGGAGAATAATCTCGACCGCCTCCATATGGTGATCGCCTTGGAGAATAATCACGACCACCTCCGTATGGTGAACGCCTTGGAGAATAGTCTCGACCGCCTCGATATGGTGGTGAGCGCCTTGGAGATCTTCGGTGGTATGCATAGTCATCATAGCCACGGTACCTACCACGGTCGCCGCGGTCGCCACGGTCACCACCACGATAACCTGCAATCCAGACCACTGAATATAGTAGAATTCATAACAGAGAGAATTCAAATGAAATACATAGCTCGACAACTAATATCTTACCTTCTGCCCTGCTGTTCTTGAGTCCAAGATAGTGTCCAGGTGTTGGAGTTCTAGGTCGTTTCCTTCTGGACTGAAACATAAATAATATGAAATCTAAAATACAGATATTTTATATGCCAAAAAGAGGGCAGATATTTATTTGTATAGTTTTATTTAATTTGTATTAATTTTCTTTATCAACACGGGTCAAATTTATCACAAGCAAAGAAGTAAACTGTAAGCACCTCTTCAATATACTAAATAACAAAAAGAAAAACATTTTAGGAATTTTCATACTCCATAAAAGGACAAAGAGCATCTACTTTCACCTCCCACATGACCACGAGATTAATTGTGCAAACACAAAAAAGCCTAGTCAAAGGTGTTACCGTTGCAAAAATATTGAACATGAAAAACCAATGCCAGGCATGCAACACCATTAAAGTCTGATTAGATTGTTGATATTGAATCTTGATTAGTTGAGAGTTGAAAATGTTTGCCGAGGTTGTAAAGTTGGGCAATAAAGTTGCTATGTTTAGTTGATCAGATGCATGTGAAAAACTGTTTTAGCTGGCCATTGATCAGACGGTGTGAATAATATGTTGCAATGGAAGAGAACTGATCATCTTTGATTGTTGCCAAAGAAGCCAAGGCAATGTCTTCTGAGTATAGGCAGAAAACCTCCAAGTCAAAAAAGAAACAAAAATCTGGTAATATTCTTCAGCACTCAATGTATAAACGACTTACCTTCTCCACAGTTATGTATCGACCTTCAAGAACAGACTGATTGAGGTGCTTTACGCAGCGATTGGCATCATCAGCATTGTCCATTGTTACAAAAGCAAAACCACGAGAAACACGAGAACGTGGCTCCACTACCAAAAATACTGATTTTACCTAGCAAAAATAAAGCGAAACATATCAACAAGATCACTATTAGATATTAGATACTATAAATAATAACTTAAACCAGCAATTCCAACTTGTACCCAAATTGTATTGGGAGATTAATTTTAAAAATATTAGATACTTGTACACCCAGTTATTTGTTAGTTATATTTTAAAAACCCTAAATCTGAAAAGCAATTATCAAGACCATCATGACAATGTAAGGAAAGAAATGACTTAAGAACAAAAACAATTAGTACCAACCTTCCCTTCCTTAGAGAAGTGGTCTTCAAGGTCCCTTTCTGTGACCCTTGTAGATAAACCAGTCACATAGAGAGTATCTCCAGGATTAGAAGGCGGGTCCCTGAACATACCAGTCACAAAAAAAGAAAGCAGCATAAATATGGGACAACACACAAGCCCGTTGAAGAGCACATCAATAACACAGGTTAACAGCTGATTGGCATCAGTACAACAAGGTCAAAGGCATAGTTAACTAACCTGCCACGACCTCTGGATGTGGACCTTCCCCTTGGTCTTGACAATGACCTAGACCTAGATCTTGATCTTGACCTTTCTTCCCAAGGGGAAGGAGAGCGTGAATGCCTGCCAAACCAAAGAATAATTCCATCAAAGCAGAAACTGTAAAGTAGAACAGAACCCTAGCTACTAAATGATGGCTTTAATCACTTGCAAACTTTGCCAACGTTCAACACCAAGAAAATCAAAGATTTAAGAGCACATATATTAGGCTGCCTCAACAAGTCAACAACATGGCATTAATCTAGCAGTGTGGAAATCTGCTTACACCAAATTCATTCTTGCAGTTTCAACTCACATCAAAGAGATAATATTTAATGAAATAACCAACCCCCCCCCCCCCCCCCCCCAATCATAAATATTACACCTTTTACTCCAAGGAGTAAGAAAAAAATCTTCCTAATCCATCTAATTTCTCTACTATCAGGTAGACACACACACATATCAAACTCCTTTGGATCAATTGGTATAAAAGGTTCAGTATCAAAAGCCTAGTTTTCAGGACTCTTAACCATTCTTCTTTCATCTAATTTTAAATATGCAATTTAGCCCAAATCAATCCTAACAAAGGCAATAAAAATCCAGAAATTGAAAAAATATATATAATTTAACAGAATCACACTACAAGGCCATTCCATTCACAACCCAAAATCCCATCCAACAATCAACAGGAACGCAATCAAAGAATCAAGGCGGCGATCTTAGTACAATCACACGCACACACAAAAGATACGTGCTTATAAAACAAAGTCAAAATCAATAGAGCGTAAAGCTACGAGCGACAACCGAAGCTTACCTTTTCCGAGGAGAGTCGGCCTGCAAAAAACGAAAAGAGTATATATTCAACAAACATCAAATTGGTATGGCGTATAGGTGTAGGGCACCAGGAGGGAAGGGAGTACACGAGAGGAAGAGAGTGTTTACCATTTCCGAGCAGAGAAAAGGGAAAGAAAACCCTAAACCGCGAGAGAGTTGCAGAAAAGGAGTCGGTACACCGGGGATCACCAAGACGGGAAGGGGGGCGGAGATGGAAGGAAGTTGTAGATACACACACAGATAAGTGAGGGAAGGCAATGCCCCTTTAAACCCTAGAGGCTTTGTTGATTTTTCGAACACGGATTTTTTATTGTATTACATCACATTTAAAAGCGATTTCAAAATTATTTTTTCAATGGACTGTTTGGTAAGTATAGAATTGTAATTTCGTTTTTATAAAGATTACAATTTTGCCCTTGCATTATTATTGTTATCATTCTTATTATTATATAATATACAAGGACATTGACCGTAAATAAGGTTAAAGTGTTTTTTTTTTTTTTTTGAAATGAGGTTATCAAGTATATTAGAAAAGAAATAGAGTTGTATTGTTATGTGTCCGAATACAATAATCAAAGTCTCCCCCTTGTTACATGCGTTCAGCTTTATACTATACAATAATAGTAACGACTATAATAATAGGCACTAATGGCCTCCTATTAAGTGCAACAGCTCCCCTTCATAAGTGTCAGGACTCCTCAGTAATTGTTGTGCGCTCTCCTATGATATTTTGATGAGGTGGTGTCCTACTAAGTGCACTTAATAACTCATATCTCATAATGACTATGTACTATTTGACTGCATTCAATGCGTTGACGGGTTAGACCAAGAAAGTCGAGCCGGATTCGGTGTCTTGTCCAATTATCCTATCACTAACTCCTATTCCCGAGATGCGAGTGTAGCGGAGCTAGTTAGAGAGTAATAAAAATGTAAACTTCATTGAATATCTTGTCACAAACCCCCTTGCTAGCGGTTAGCAGACAGCGAGCGTCCAGTAGTATGTCTGCTAGTTTTTTTTTTTTTTTGGTATAATAATAATAACAACAATAATGATGATTTTTTTAATTATAATACTAGTCTTTTATATGTGTGATGCGCAAAAACATATGCCTAATATTTATATTTGTAAAAATAACTAACAAATCTTTACTAATTAAAATCTATATGAATCAAATTTATTTATTATATTAATCCAATTTAAAATGTCTACAAATATTATTATCATTAAAAAATATAAGAAAATATATTGTGGATGCATTTACAAATTCCCAAAGAGTTTGTCGAAAAATTTAACAAACTCTTGAAGAAATGTAAAGTCTATAATATTCACAATTTTGTTGTACAAATGTCTCGCATGAGGTTTAAGTCATGCAAGCACAAGTACATTATGAAAGCGAACCATGACACTTTGATTAGTATTACGGATCAAGATGAATCCCAATGTTCCCAAACAATATAATATCTCCAAAGTTTGCCGAATTAATACAAATCATAAACCATGATATATAAAATCTCCAAAATTTTAGCATCGAATGCATACATCTGCACATTAGCTATTAATTAGATAATTATTTGCTCGAATTCAAACAATAATAACATCGAAAAACATAATCGATCCAAACCATCTCTTCAATTGCACTATATAATATTTGATGTTATAATTTATATAATTATATATCGATTTAAATATTTTTAAAATATTATAACAGATTCATTTCGTGCATTGCACGGGTGAAAATCCAAATTGTAACTTGTAACAATAATAAAATAGGGAGATAATCGACATGAATATGTGAATGACCTGACAAAATGTAGATTATGCACAAAACATTGGAATGCAACATGCCAATAACAAGGAGACAAAAAATAAAGTACTTAATCAATAATATGTCAACAATCAAACTCAATAAAGCTACTATGAATAGTGCATTAGTATATGATATTTAGTAAATTTAATAAATAATTAATTAAAAATCCTCAAGCTAGGTTCATTTTTTCTATTTTAACAAGTATATGTATACAACATTCAATATTTACATCCCATCTTCACACTTTATTTTTGCACTACTTCTACCTAATAGATTTACATTCTTGTCATGGAAATTATGAGCCAACTCAAACCCGGACTTGAATCGCCTTGTATAGGACTGATCCCGATCCTCCTCCTCATAGGCTTGTGGCCCTAGCTCTGGTCCGACCCTCTTAAGTCTTTACAGGTCAATCTCAATCTTCTTAAGCCCTAATCCAAAACTGGAAGTGGCCGACACTATACCAGAACACTATCATACTAAGATCATCATATGAACTCGATATTGTCTAATCATATACCAAACCTTTACAATGCCATTCACTAGAAAGCAAAATATTAGGTTGTCAAAACATCAGGAATAGTAGTAGAGTATGATCCAATTACTTTGCCCCCAACATCTGGGAAATGTTCACATCCAGGCAGTGGGCTTACTTTCCCATCTGTATCCACATCCAGAGGATACTTTAGAAGATGACCCTGCAAGGGAGTAGTGAAACTCCCATCTATGAATTTTTTCCAGTTATCTTGTGCAATCTTATTCACTCTCCTCACACACTCCAACGTATTCGGCTCCTCAAAACATTCCTCCACCTTTCCAAGGTGTTCTTCCCACAGTGACATTCTGTATCCATAGATCTGGAGATATTGATAACAACATATAAATAATCTTGTTGATGACATAGTTGTGCTGTTATATCAGTGTTCAACTTGTGTCAATGAGTAATTCAGAATTGAAAGCAAACCCTTTATTTGATGTTAAGTAAAAGACCAAACTGCGGTAAAGATATTTTGTCTTAAGTTAAACAGTTTAAACCTGGCCATGAGGGCGACGCTGCTTCCTTGCCCAAGTATGATGGGACTGATAGGCTCCCATAGCGATCTCGGTGTCTTTTGAGCCAGCCATAGATCGTTGGTTGATGTTAGCAGATCCCACTATGACATACTCATCGTCCACTATCATTCCTTTGGCATGCACATATATCATGAAGCGCTGAAACTTGAGGGATTCCGAAACCTGATTGTATCTCAAGACTGTAACTTATCAGAAATAACCCGAATTGCAATTGAAACAAGGTTTATTAGAACAACATGAAATGTACTAGGAAAACTATATGACAGAAATTTATGTTGAAATTACATTATCTTTACCGCTAATGGACTGGCTTACTGAACTTGGAACATCTTCCCGATTGCCAAGGCAATAGAAATTTAGATAGTCTGAAGGACGAGCATCTAGTTGCATGGACTTAATCTCTTGTGCAATGACCTGATACATCATATGCATTGTTTGGCTCTGCCAAAATGCGAACAAAATCAAGTAATGATCCACATTTCTGAGCAGAAAGCAAGTCACCGGCCATCGTAAAAAAGGGGAATCATATATTCATATTACCTGCCAAAAGAGAATTTCTTGCATTGTAGCTGTCTTGGGGTCTCCCTCTGGCCACATTGGCATAACAACATATATGGCAAACCTTTCATTGGCTCTAATTTTACTGACAGCTTTCATTGCCAACTCCATCGGGATCAGATGATCAGCCCCTAGAGTATTAAGTACAAAGAAAATAAAGAGTCAAGTGCACTGCACGCCTATCTCTCGGCACAAATTTTCAACATTAGTGAGAATGAGAGATAAAACTAAGCAAATACTGTGTATGTGGTAGAAAGATTACATAGAAAGAAATGTAATTTGACCTGCATCTTCGTATGATGGCCAAGCATATGATGACCCAAGAAAATACTGGTTTTCAATATATATGAAATTCTGAGCTGATCTTATTGCCTGGATATATGCTGTCTCAATGCTTTTGTCGACCGCCAGATTTTTTCCACAAATAAGGTTCTGCAGTAATTAGGAGCCAAATATATAAGATAATATTTTGTCCACCCTACTGGTTATAGGTTGTCATGTGTGAAAACTCAAAATATGGAGATTTTTATACATCACCTGTTTCTCAGCAATGTCAATTCTTTTGGGAAAACCCTTCACAGAACCTGAATCGATGGAACGAAAAATCTGCAAGAAAAAAGATATATGGCTAAAAAGATTAGAAGGAACTCAAAGGTTCCACCAACCAAATTCACACAATCCCCAGAAATAATCAACCTGAACATGCCAATGTTTTGATTGGTCATTCTCATTCACGTAGAGTTTAGGATCATCCTCCGGAATGGACGTGGTTTCCTTTCCAATAAAAAAGGCTGGGCTGAGTATCCATGATATTCGTTCAACTTTGATCATTGCATCATCATTCCATTTAGACCGAGCCTTTTTCAGAAAAGCAAATTCTCTCCACCTGGTTGCTCTCCTCCAGCGTTGAGCAAAGTTTATAAGCACGTCATATGCAGCAGGCCCGTCAATTCTACAGTGTAAGTCATGCCATGGCTGCCTTGGAGCTTTGGTCCCTGCCTAATATCAGCAACATAGAGAAAGGAAAAAATAAAAGATTGACAAAGAAGGACAAGAAAAAAAATTAAAAGAAAGAAGGAAGAAACAAATGCAGAAAGATTCATTTATCATTTAAATAAGTAGCTAATACAATGTTGTAGTAAATGGAAAATAAAGAAAACCTGTTTAACTTAAAACTGATTAACTTCTATAACCTGTATGACTTAGTTCACCTTTCGGTGTAAAAGTTCTATTTCCTTTGACAAGATAACAAGGTAATAATTGGAGGTAAGGTTCAATTGAGTCTAAAGGCGGACTTCAATTGCTCTGCACAAGTTCATTGACTAATTTGAAGATAAAATGACAATAGATATCAAATTAGACTCCAACACTTACACATAATCTAAGAATACCCAAACATGAAAAAGTAGGATGGTAAAAAACTCACCGGAAATGTAGGCTGATGAAAATCACCCTTAAAAACAGTATCAAGATCATGAAATAGACGGTGTTCAGGTGTATCATAGCGACCGTCACAGAGATCAAGACCACCCAAGAAAGCTGTAATTTTTCGATTATTACCATCGCCCTGTGTATCCACAAGCACACACTTCTGGTGGTGTGTGAACATGGTTCCAACAATCTGGAAACAATAGCCAAATTCACAAATCACAAACACATTTCTCAGACTGTCAAGATGGGTAAAAAGGAAATAATCCAACAAAAAATTCAGAGTTCAAGTGCCACTGTGCCAGTACAACCCCAAGTAGACAATGTATATATCATTACCAAAAAGAGAACTGAGCAGGTGTTTACACAAAGTCAGACCTGAAAAGAGATTACAAGATCTACTAGCACCTCCACACCATCTACCCTAGCTTCTTTACACTAAAAAATAACAGGGATAAACATTTGCCTTCACCTATGTGAAGAGATTGGTGTTCCCTAAAAAACGCTATTGTTTTTTCCTTCTTTTTTTTTGTTCCATGTTGCCCACATCAGACAGTGAGGGATTGTTACCCAGATTTTTCTAACAAAGCACTTCACACCCACAAGTTCTCCAAATAATTTGGCAATCCTTGATGCATTTTATGGCAAAAAATGGCAAATGAGTTTGAAACAAAAACCATATTTATCCTGCATGTTTGCATTTGATGGAATGATATTGATTCATCCCACTGAAGGGAAGACAAGAGTTCCCATCAAGCAACAAACAGCAACGCCTTTTTTAAAAACCTCATGATTTTTGTTCAACATTGAAAAATTATTCTCGACAAAAACATGCAATGTTAAAGCCAGTAATCTGCTCTGAATAGCCAAGACAAAACAGATGGAAGCTAGGTGAGCTGTTGAAAGGTGGTATAAACAAAGTATTACATACAGATGAAGTAATAGAATATAAGAGAACTCACTTGCTGCTTAATAAAGCTAAGCTTACTGCTGGCATAACGAGGTGACAGAACACAAATCACAGATGAGTGTTTAAAAAACTTCTTGGTCTCCTCATCATGGGTCGCCATTATTCCTGCCTGCATCCAGTGTCATCTTGAATAAATATTATAAACAAAAATTGAAAATAAAAATATTCATCAAAATAAAACTTACAGCATGGATCATCACCATCAACTACACAAACAAACAGTGGTGAAAAATTATCTTACAGAACAGCATAAACATAGGGTGTTATACATTTTGCACTGTAACAATGTCATCTTCACTTTTCATCTAAATTTTCCTTTCAACTATACTGAAGGCAATTAAACCATCAGAAGAGATTAAAACTTATATCATTGAACATTTTTTGTAATACAGAGTAAAACACAAAACCAAACTCATACCGTGTTAATGAAGAACTTGTCGTGAGAGGTCTTATCATCCCAAACTAATAACAGAACCCGAACACCTTCCTGGGATTTGTACTTGAGCAATTCACCGAGAGTCAAGTCCCCGCCGGATGGCAAGTCTCTTGTAGGCTCTCTTATCAATTTAATCTTCTGATAAACAGACCATCCGACAATGTATATCAAATGATGAGCCTCGGAGATCGCGAGACATATGTCTTCCCAACAAGAACCTCGTTCATACGCTATCCCTCCATCTAGCTTAACCTCCGGCAATTCCAGATTGTTCTTAACATGAGCGTCTTGATACAGCTTCACTGAGCATCCTTTTCTCAAGGGAAAATATGTGTTTCTAACACCTAATACCTCAGGATCGCCTGCAATTCCGTGCTTATACAGGGGATTGGTTTCAAACGGAATGAAATTCATTTCAATACGGAGAGCTGCTCCGGATTTGGGAGGCTTCCCGGAGTGGTCAATCAGTTCAAACCAATCGGAAATTTCATCGCCGCTGGCGATATCCTTGGCCGGAATTTTCACTTTCCCTATACTCTGAGCTCCGAATACATCGTTATCCTTCACGCGGAACTCCAAGCACGCCATTGGATGGGCCAGTGGGATGAGAAAATGCTCCTCCCACACCGGGTTCTGCGCGTTGGGGATTACGCGAGTACGGGCGAGTATAGTTTGAGGCGCCGAAACAGTAACATAAGCGTCCGTAGCTATAACTCCCTTGAGGTGATTTCTCCTCTCCGAGTAACTCGACATGGTAGCCCCGCCGTCGTCGGGGGCATGGTGAGGCTTCCGGCAGACGTCGCAGGCGAAACAGCGGCGGAGCCTCTCGGCGGCCAAGTCCATGTTGGGCAATTTTCGCGCCTCAATGATGTGTAGCTGCAAATCTCCATGCAAATACACCGTCTCCTCCACGGAATTCTCACCCATTTTCGACGATTTCTTCGGAAGCTGCTACCATTCAAACCTTCGCAACAACGCTTCTACCGATAATAATAATAATAATTCCCAAAAGTGTTTATGTTCTTCGATGCAAACACCGCCGTGTTCAAATGGGAGAAGGAATTTGAGACAGGGATATCCTGCGCGCGGGATGTTTGCGTGGTGATCACGTGGCGGAGGGACTGAAAACACGACGGAGTTGGGGGATGGGCGGCGAGCGAGAACGGTATTCGGCGGGCCGATGAGCGGGAAAGAGACCGATCGACGGCACGTGGCCGGAGGCAGTTCGTTTCGTGGCAGATTCAACGGTTACAATGTTAAATCACGCCAACAGCTAAACGGTTAAATCAGCCTTCACATATAAAATTACCATTTTTTTTCCTCTTTTTATAAGGAATAGTGTCGAACCCAAGACCCAAAACCAATTTGGTTGGTAGTAATTTAATTGGTCAATTTTTTTATTTTTTATTTTTGAAAAACTAATTGGTCAATTTAGTCTATTTAATATTAGAAGAGATAAAGTACAAATAAGCCACTGTATTATTTGGAAAAAAGCAATTAAGCTATCGAACTCAAATAAACCCCAAATAAGCCATTGAACTCGAAAAAAAAGAGCAAATAAGTCATTGAACCCTGAAAAAAAAAAGCAATTAACATTTTTTACAGGTTAACTCCAGATTTTTGCTGATTGGATTGTCAAATGTTTATTTTATTTATATTTTTTTATTATTATAATCCACCTACATAGTAATATATTTTAAAGCAATTATAATCAAAGTAGTTTTGTTTTGTCTAGATCTAATTTATTTATTTATTATTATTTTTTAAACAAAAGATCCAGTGAAAAAATAATAATAATAATAATAAATAAATCAAATCTCGATAAGACAAAACTATTTTGATTATAATTACTTTAAAATATAATACTATCCAAGTGGATAATAATATAATAATAATAATAATAATAATAATAAACGTAAATAAAATAAACATTTGGCAATCCAATCAGCAAAAATCTGGAGTTAACCTATAAAAAAATGTTAATTGCTCTTTTTTTCAGGGTTCAATGGCTTATTTGCTCTTTTTTTCCGGGTTCAATGGCTTATTTGAGTTCAATGGCTTAATTGCTTTTCCCAAATAGTACAGTGGCTTATTTGTACTTTATTGAGAAAAGTGTCAAATTGATCTCTTAAGTCATTCGGATAGTGCAATTAGGTCCCCTGAGTAAAATAAATAAAAAAAAAAAAAACTTCATTCAGATTCTCTAAACATATAAAAAAGTTCAATTGAGTCCAAATAAACTCGTATAGTAGGTTAATTCATCCACAATTTGACATGTGTCCCTTTTAATTTTTTTTTTAATTTTTATTTTTTAAAAAACTTTTTATTTATTTATTCAATTATTAAAAATTAATAATTAAAAAAAAAAAATTAGCCGCTGGACAGCCGGTGGCTGCGTATTTCACAGACAGTCGTGGTTGTCCCGTTGTCCGTCCGGCGAGGACAGCCGGACAGCCACGGCTGTCAAACATGAGGTACAGATCTGGACGTCAAACGGCGTGGAACGAGGGCGGTGGCCATGGACGGCCATAGCGTCCCTAGACTGCCATGACCGTCTAAAAAAAATTCGATTTTTTTTATAGACAATCATGACTGTCTGGGGACGGCACCGGACAACCATGACCGTCCATGGCCGTTTGGAACGAGGGCGGCGTCTATCGTTTCAAGTCATTTGAGGTCCAGATCTGAACCTCATGTTTGACAGCTATGGCTGTCTGTGAAATACGTAGCCACCGGCTGTCCTCGCCGGACAGTCGGTGGCTGAAATTCTTTTTTATTTATTTATTTATTAATAATTGACCCTTTTCTCTTATTAATATTATTATACAAGAGTATTTTAGTCTTTATATCACTTCTCTCATTTTCATTATTTCTCCCTACCAAACAATGTACCTGTAATTCCTAATTTATTTCCACCTTATTCTTTTCCACCACCGAATTACAATTCATTTTCCCCCTTAATTCCTTCCTTCCAACCGAATGCACTGTAAAGAGTTCACCATATTAAGTGTGACTTCCACACTACAAGAATAAGAAGAATTTTCTTGAAATTTCAATTTTTAGAATATGGCTAATTTAAAATTTGTATAATACTTTAGGTCTTTAATTATTATTTTTTTTAAAAAAAATTATGAAATCATGGTAGTTGACTAGTTTCTTGCCAATCAAACAAATACAATATAATCTACTCTATTCATTTCTCATATAATTTAAATTTTATTTTTAGGATTTCATTTTTGTGAACCATACAAACCGTAAAAATGAAATAATTAAAATAAAGTAACAAAATCATAAAAATTTTCTTCAAATAAGAATAAAAGTTTGTACATGCAATCAGTATTGAATCTAAATTAATATCATAATAGTGGGGATATTTGATGCTATATATATATCTAAAAAATAATGTAACATTTCCACTTTAGTAAAAGTATGTTATTGACCTTTTTAATCAAAACAACATTCTCTAGTGTGTCGTAAGAATGAATTTGTCAACATATTTAACACTAAATTAAGAAAGCATATGCACCGATGCATTTTTTGTGAATTTTAGAATAGTAAAAATTAAGTTTGTAGTTTTTTCACAAATGAAAAATTAGAGTTTTTTGATGTATTTTTCTCTTATAAGTGCAAAACTTTTGTAAGGTCCACTAATTGAAAAATGGAAACAAAGCGTACTACTTTTCTTCGCGTGTTGGAGACGCAGGCGCCCAGCTAGACACGTGCATTGTCTATTGATCCTTTTTTTTTTTTTTTTTTTTTTTTTTTTTCGAGTCAGACCTTTTTTTTTTTTTTTTTTTTTTTTTTTTTTTCATTCTTCTCTCTTGCTCCTTTCTTTCCTTGTGGCACTTCAAAAACCGTGTAAAATACATAGCTTATGAGAATGCTCTAAAACAAGATGACCTTTTATCATCCATCACACATATAGGCTAATATATATATATAGTTGCATGGATAGTTTGCTGTCAAATGTGGTGATTTCTGTACTGCAATTTCACATATGTTACAAGAAAGAATTTAATTGTTCATTGACAGTACAAAATGCATGTACAACATATACATACATAGAGGTAAATATGGACTAACCCCAGAGCCACACTCCTCTTTTAACTGGATTGTGAACAATTCACACTTCACTCAATCAAACTTACAGTGCCATTCACTGGAAAACACAATGAATAAGGTAAAACATCATATCAGGTTGTCAAAAGATCAAGAATAACAGGAGAGTATGCTCCCATTATTTTGCCCCCAACATCTGGGAAATTCTCAAATCCGGATAGTGAACTTACTCTCCCATCTCTATTCACATCTAGAGGATACCTTAGAAGATGACCCTGCAAGGGAGCAGCGAAACTTTCGGCCGTGTATTTTTCCCAGTTATCTCGGGCAATTTCATTCACTCTCGTCACACACTCCAGCGTCTCAGGTTTCTTGAAACATTCCTCCACTTTCCCGAGGTGCTCTTCCCACAACGACATTCTGTACCCATATATCTGCAGATATTGATGACAACACGTGAATAATGTTGTCATATGAGTAGCTGTACTGTTAAAACCGGTTGTGTTCAACTTGTATGGAAACTGTTCTGGATCAAACCACACTAAAAGATTGAATCCAAGTGGACAATCGGGCCATCCCCTAAACGAACCGAGGCTCTGATACCATGTTATAAACTAAGATTGGGACAGGGTCACTCAACTGGGCTATAATGCACATGAATCAAACCACACTAAAAGATTGAATTCAACCAATTAACTAGTCAAATTACAAGATTTGAACCTGTCCGCGAGGGGGATGCTGCTGCTCTGCCCAGGTATGATAGGGCTGATAGGCGCCCATAGCTATCTCGGTGTCTTTCGAGCCAGCCATAGATCGTTGGTTGATGTTAGCAGATCCCACTATGACATACTCGTCGTCTACTATCATTCCTTTCGAGTGCACATATATCATGAACCGCTGAAACTTGAGGGAATCCGAAACCTGAAGTAGACACACAACTTAGGCGTGCAACACTGTTGTTCAAGTCGAGAAATTTTATTCGGAAATTAGAAAAATTACCTTGTCTGCATCAGACTGGCTGAGTGAACTTGGAACATCTTCGCGTTGGCCAAGGCAATAGAAATTTAGATAGTGTGAAGGATGCACACGCACATCTAGTTTCGTCGACTTAATCTCTTGTGAAATGATTTCAAACATCATCTGCATCGTTTGGCTCTGTCGAAAATCGAACAAAATCAAGGAACAATCCACATTTCCAATCCAAAAACAAGTAACCCTCCATCGTAGAAATCAAGTGGTTTGCAGAGTGGGCAATCCCAGCCAAGTTGGTCAAGCTGTTGACTTGGTAACCCAGTGCACACCCTCGGGGCCTCGGGTAATAGCTGCAGTTTCGCTCTTTGCTAAAAAAAAAAGAGTCTGCAAATTACCTGCCAAAAGAGGATTTCTTGCATGGGAGCGGACTTGGGGTCTCCCTCGGGCCACATTGGCACAACAACATACACAGCAAATCGTTCTTTGGCTCTGATTTTACTCGCAATTTTCAGTGCCAACTCCATTGGAATCAGATGATCAGCTCCTAGAGTGTCAAGATTCAAGAATGAAGAAAATAACGAGCCAGTAAAATTTCCAGGAACAGATATCTTCACCAATGACGATGACACATAAAACCAAGTAAAAAAATTTGTGTACATGGTAACGAGGTTATGTAGAAAGAACCTGCATCTTTGTACGATGGCCAACCATATGATGACCCAAGAAAATACTGGTTTTCAATATATATGAAGTTCTTAGCTGATCTTATTGCCTGGATATACGCTGTCTGAATGCTTCTATCCACCACCAGATTCTTTCCACAGATAAGATTCTACAGTATTTCGAGCCAAAGATGCAAGATAATATGTTATGTTAAAACTCGATTAAGATATAAGGGATGAAGGTGATTGTATACATCATCACCTGTGTCTCAACAGTGTCAATTAATTTGGGAAAGCCCTTCACAGAACCTGAATCAATGGACCGGAAAATCTGCAAAAACAAAACGAAGGATTTCTAAGGTTCCACCAGGAAAATGCACACTATCACGAGAAATATCCAACCTGAACATGCCAATTTCTTGACCTATCCTCCTCGTTCACATAGAGTTCGGGGTCATCGCCTGGAATGGACGTGGTTTCCTTTCCAATAGAAAAGGCGGGGCTGAGTATCCATGATATTCGTTCGACTTTTATCATAGCATCGTCGTGCCATTTAGACCTACGCTTTTTCCCAAAAGCGAATTCTCTC